GGCGTTGCCCAAGCGACGCCTGCTTCTGCCCCGACCTTGAGCCGCTTGCTCTGTCGGCGGGCAGTGGTTTCAAGAATTACCCCTGACGGTTTTTTTTTTTTTACTTTTTGTTTAAAGACTGTTGCATTACAGAGCTGCTGAAATTCAAATCAAATAAGCAATTAATTCCTAATGCTACTGGATCTGGTCCTCTGCGTAGGCAGATCCTCTTCCTGCTGGGAGTGGCAGCGGTGCCAGGGGGGTATAAAAGCCGAAATACCTGTGCAGACACTTTTGGGGTCTATTCAGAGTGCTGAGACAGGGCTTGTCACCGTCACCGCCTGCCTGCGGTGCCCAGAGGGACACAACCAACACCTGGTCACTGTAGCACCTTCCTCTCCTTGGAGGGAAGCAGGGGTTGGTTCTGTGGTTTATACTCCTGCACCTGCAATGTGCAGGGTGGTGCCAGGTTTGGGAGGACACTCCTGAGGGAGCTGGTCCTGGCTCTGGGGACTGCTCTGGGACAGGCGCACGGGAGCGTCCCAGCAGCAGGAGTGAGAACAGAACAGTGAATTTCCTCAGCCACCGACTTCGGAGGAAGATGGAGTCAGTGGTTACCGGGGATGTGAGACTGGGCTCTACCAGGAAATTGTGGAATTTGTGCCTACTGCAGGCAAGTATTACACTGCTAGAAAATCTTAACCTGGAGCTTTGTAGCTTTGTGGTTAATAATATCATCAGGCGGAACAGTCCATGTTCTCACCTCCGTTAGGACTAAATCTGGTCAATTGTTCAGGGCATGGACGTTTTTTATTTATATCTCTGTAGATATGTCTTTTACGTAAAGAATCTTCCCCCATTTAAATATTTTTATGAAGGAGCTAAAAGAGGCAGCTAGTCACTGATAGCTTAATCATATACGGTAAAAGCCCAGCTCATGCAGAAGTGAGGGGGAGTACTTGGCACGCCGAGGGACTGTGTCCTAAATCACTGATAATAACTATATACAGAACTTACAAAATCAGAGATTACGACAGGTGCTTAGTTCATCCTCTCTAGTGTTCTGAGCACTCTGGTCATGCTAAAACCTGCATGCTGCTTGTCTGCCCTGCCCATTTCATCCATTCAGTTAATAAATACTCTTCATATACTGCTGGAGGAGGGATTGCTACATGTAATTAAATCCTGTAGCAACTCTCCGGTTCAAGGGCAAAGAGAGAAAACACATGAAAACAGCAAATGAAATACATTAACCTTAAAAATAAAGCATGAATTTGGAAGGTGCTTTTGAAATCAAACAGTAATAATAGCCCTGGGCCACTCTCAGCTTTGATGGCCTTAAAGCAGCCCGTTTATCATTATAACATTAATGGTTGGGCTTTTCCACAGATGGCTCATACAGTGGGACAGTTGTTAATAGCCTGTATACACACAGCACAGAATAGAGCCCAAAATATTCCACCATGTGACTTTTACACAAGTAAATGAAAGTTTTGGGGTTTTTATCTTCCACACCTGCTCTCAGCCACTGAAGCCAGCGTGAAAATCTCTCTTCATTGGGAACAAGTGTTGGTGGAACAATTTTTACAAGGAAATACAATTTGGGAGGAATTACCATAACTCATTTGGAATACCCTGCAGGGTAAGGAACACCCGGTGTTTATTACTGGCTATGCTGAATCAAATCCTGCATTTAGGATACCCAGTGAATTTTACTGTGACTTAACAGAAGAGTAGAAATGGGTTCCAAATTTCCCTCAGTTCTAGATTGAAGTAGTTACAAAGGATTAATCAAAAATGTGTTTGAGCTTCATATTGTGGGCAACAATAACATGTGTTTTAATATGAACCTATCGTTTCACGAAGTTCAGACATACTTTCCAGTATCAGATGTTGAACTGTAACCACATTTCTGCTTTGGGGCAGTTAAATGCACATCCCCTTTCTATTACGTTCAGGAGTTGGACACCACGCATTACTTACTCTCACTACACGACTTATGAGTGCACTGTTTACACGTGCAACCCTGCTCCCCCATTTTCTGGAAAAAAGCATGTGTAGCCTTAATAATGCAAGGAAATAATTTAAAAAAAAATACAAGGAAAATGTTATTACCTTTTATGACGCCAAGTTAGGGTTCCACATCTCTTCCACAGGCTCTGATAACATCACCAGTGCAAACACAGGAAAGATCATCCCATGTTAGGGGGGTTAGTGACGCCATCCATCCTGGCACAACTTGTGTCCTGGCACGCAAGTAGAAGAGAGAAAGGTCAGATGGCTTTTTCAAGCAAAATCATGTTTTAGCTATTTAGAAAATGTTACAGAAGATTTTAAACACTAGAAATGAAATGTAATCTTCACAACACTGACAATATCTGCCTGTTTTCAAGGATAACCACTAACAAAATACCTCGCTCTCTCCAGCTAGCAGGTTGGCTGCCGTTGCTAACTCGGCCCCCAGGATGTGCTGTTGGTGGTCCCAAGTTTTGATACAGCTTCAGGGAGCGCCTAAAGTCATCTTGTAAAACTGCAAAGTTAGGCCCATCTCAGCATTCCCAGCCCAGGAGGAGAAGCAGCAGAACTAATCAGAAAGCAAAACTGAGCACTGCAGATGGGATGGTGAACATTTAGTAATGGTATTGGAAACCGCATTAAATGTAAATATTTGTTTGAAATTATTTATAATCTAACTCTCTTTCTGACGTTTTTGAGGTTTTATTTAAAAGGCTGAGGAATTTTGGATTCCTAATGGTTTCTATCTTCAGAAAGTTGCATAAAAAATTAGTGAGTATGGAAATATAGCTTAAAAAAAAAAGGATACAGAAGTGTCTGATTAGCTGAGTGAGAACACACTGACAAGCAAGGATCCTAATCAGTCTCCTTTGATCTGTGCACCGCACTTGACAAGCAGAGAAACTGGAGTGAACATTTTTATGTTGCATTAATATACTGTTTCAAAATAATCGATTCATTCCACTGGGTAAGCATTTAAATGTGTTGATTTGCAGCTACAGATCCGTTGTACTACACTTGCGGGGAGGGTTGCGTGGAGTTTTATCCTTCTTGGGAAGATTCAAATTCTTATTTTTTCCCCCCTGGGAAATGGTGAATGGTATCCTTATATGGTTGGTGTCAAGTTGCAGTTCACGGTAACTGGGTGTCAATTCTAAACAAACACAGCACTTCAGAAAAATACTTAACACAATCATGAAACAGGAGGGGCAAGCCCTCAGGAAGCCCTCCTAGCCATGGAGCACTCAGATGTACCTCCCGCTAGCCATGCAGGTTGAGATTTTCACAGTCTTATCTTTTCACACCTTTGCCACAGTGGTTTGTTTTTTTCCATTCTACTGTTGGCTTTTTGATTTTAAATGAAATAATCATTGAACTTAAAGCAGCTGAATACACCAAAATAAAAAACCTGCAAAGAGTGCAAAGAGAATCTGTTTTTTACACCACCTGATAGATTGTAAATATTAAATATTTACAGTAAAATCCATCTCTATTCACCATGAATATCTGAACTAAATAGCATGCAAAATAAATATTGACATGCAAGCCCTTGCCACTCCATTTGCTTTCTTTTTAAACTTAAACATCTTCTGGCATTATAAGTGCTTATGGAAACGTTTTCCTGAGTCTCTTGAGCATCAGTCATTTGAAATGTCAGGGGTCACGTTAGACTGAACAGCAATATTCTATCTTTCCTTCTGTGATCGGGGACATAAATCTGTGGTTATTCACCATTTAAAAGTCAGAGGCTTTGGAGGAAAAAGTGATTTCCATCGCCACCTTGTGTCTAATACAGAAAACGCCAATTCTCCCCAAACCACCCAAGTGCTTAAAGAAACTTCACAGGGACTCTTTGATTAAACCTGCGGACAGGAGCATGATAATTTTCCCATTTATTTCTGCGTGCTGGCATTACATATTGCTTCTGAGCTCGCTGCCCCCGAGACCTGTGGCATTTCCACCAAGCGGCGCGGGGGCTCAGCCCTGGGCTCCCTCCCAGCTCCTGGGAGTAATCTGCACCAGGGCCGGGGGGGGCTCGAGCCCCCCGCAGCTCTCAGGCCATTGCCTGGGCCCCTCTCTCTGGGGCAGAAAGCTTTAGGAAAGGTCCCTCGGCAACAGGGCTGCTGCTGTGGAGCCCCATTCTAGATCGTGCTCAGCCCCATGGCAACCAGCCCTCAGCCCACACCAGGAGCCCAGTGTGGCTCAGACCCTCGCACCAGACGCTGCGTTGACCTGTTTCACCCGTTTCTGTGCTTAACACTGGGACTCGTGTTCAGGACCAGGGTTAATCTGACCCACAGGTAAGATTTTTATTTTTTTTTTTGCAGGTCCCATTTTTTACCAAATGCCACATTT